GCCACAATTGAACCATATCGTACGAAGAGAAAAATACCAAAACCGCATGCATAACGCTGTGCATCCAACACACGGGGGTTTCCTAAATATGCCTCCATATACACTGAAATACCTCAAGTAAGGCTTTGTGTTGGGCCACTGGTTGGTGTTTGTAAGCTGGGGCAGTGCTTTCAATCTCTCCAGGACCCGACAGGCCTAGTAGGATCTGGAAATAGTGACTGACTGTGGTTTCAGAGGGACTGTGCAGAACTCTAATTCAGCTCTATCGCATAATGAGGCTCACTGCTGTTCCGTGTCACTCGATTAGTAGCTTGTGGTCTTCTTAGGCTATAGTTTGGGGTTTGTGGGGGCAGGGGATCACATCTGGGGCAAAGAGCGTAGCAGCACAACAGGGATGGGACAAGAAGCAACCTTGTTGAGAAACTCACAGCGTTCCATTGGGTCTCCCTGATTAGAATCCAATTACATCTTAGAGTTATTTTTTGGACCACCACTATAGGTTTATGGTAGGGTTTGTCACAATATTTATAACAACACAAAAACTGTGGTTGGAGGAGATTATATAGGATTGGCAGAAATAAGAAATATGTCAAAAAAAAAACATTTAAAGCGGAAATACTGCATCTATATTATAAAGAAATACACAGTTGTGTCTGGAAAGCAAAGTTAAATGGTTAATTGATTTGAGCAAAGTGAAAGTAATAAACTGATATAGTGGTTTTGCCTGTTAGCATGCAGTGCAGTAAATAAAGTTTTTGAACCTCATGGATCATTGCATCCTAAATTTCAGTTGAATTTGTGAAATTCGAACTAATTGACAGACTATGTTTTATAATGTTTAAATAGAAGAGGAAAGTAAAACACATTTTGTTGTTATTATGCAGGATAAAACTGAATTTGTTAGACAGCTTTACCTGCGTTCAGCTCTTTATATTCAGTTATTAGCTGATTTCTTTTAGCAGCATCTTTTTCAGCTGGATATAGTTAAGATATATCGTCTGCTGTGTGTCATGGACAGTCTTTGTAAATAGTACTGTAAAGAATTGTGCAGTAAGCTGTTTATTGGATAACAAATGTTTGTGGTTCTACTTATATTTTCAGCTGAGTGAAAAAAAAATCTTCATATTTTATAATAAAATTGGAGGTGTGATATAAATTGAGGAGCTTTTTTTGTCCCCACTTGTTTTGGGCAAAGGGTTAGATTTAGGATTAAGGTGTGAATTAAATTAAGGTCATAGCTAGAACTTTTTTATCTAAATTATTCACTTTTTTAACCCACAGTACAACCATATAAGTCTAGAGTGGTTCAGACAAAAAGTAATATATATTTAACATAGAAATAATGGTCTTATAAATGTTTACGGGTCCAAAATATATAGACATAGATACTTGGAACAGGGGTTGAAGTAATTTGTAGCTCAGGTGTTGCCAGGTCCTAGTAGCTCCATCATAGAGCTGAGAAACGGCTTCTTCTCTAAGTTTCATATCTCAGATTTAAGCCACAAAAAAAAGCTAAACAAAGTTGAAGATCGATCAGGTTTTTGTGTTTTTGTTATGATTTAATCAAGCAAAGGGGCTCAGAAGTAACATGGATGTTGCCAATTCATTTCAGGACAGGTAAATAAAAACAAAAAAAAACAAATTCTTAGACCTGGCAACCAGCTGTCAAACAGTACAAGAGTGGGCGAGTGGGTCACTTACTGGCCATAAGGAGGTAAACTTATAGTTATGTCCTTTAAGGTTAGCTTTAGGGTAAAGGTCAGGGTTAGGCCATAGAAAGGATTAAAAAAGAAATTAGATCAAGAAGAGTCAATGAACGTTATGGGCCTTTCAGATAGGAAGCGATTTGCGCTGCGCTGGCCGCGGGGTTCAGCGCATTTGCGCTGCGCTGCGCCGGCTGGGTTGCCGGGTCTAGTCATTTGTTTGTTGTTCCAGCTTTTGGTCAGCAGCAAATATGTATCTGACCCGTGCTAAGAAGCAAGCGCTAGCACTAGCCCTGCTAGTTCGAAGAAAAAGATCAGCAAGAAAGAAGAGGCTGTGGGTACACGAAACCCTCAGGTCCAGAGAGCAGCTTGGGGAGTTCCCGCTTGTGAAAGACATTGCACACTTGTGTCATATAGTTCGGGGAATTCAGACACACACAGTATAAGCTTTTCCTCCATTTGCTTCCTGGTCTTTCCAGCAGATGGTTTCTATTGGCCACGCGTGCATTCGTCACGGCGCGCCGCGGTCAAAGTTCAACATAGTTCAACTTTGACCTGGCCTGCGCGCGAGCTCGCGAAGCGGTGCGCTGCGCTGTGCTTGCGCTTTGCTCGACGCAGCGATAAACCGCCCTGGCGCGGCGCAAGCCATTGAAAAGAATGGGTTTCACAGCGCAGCAGTGCGGTCGTCGCAGCCTGTCTGAAAGGCCCATTACTCTGTTAATCTACAAAACAAGTATATGACGTGTATTTATGTGTGCTTCTACTGCAAATTATTTTAACAGCCATTGGGAGCAACATGGTTGACAAATCCTCAGCATTTTAACAACAACAACAAAATTTAAATGTTTGCTGTTTGTTTTGTATTTCCCCCTCCCAAACAAAATCATCTGAAATCAACTGCTTTAATATATCGTATATGTAGATGCACACCCAGAGATCTGGGCAGCTTGATGGAGACACAAAAAGACAAGAACCTTGAAAGAGAAAGATGGCAGAGAGGGGCAAGGTAACAGTGATAACCTGTAAGTAAATATATGCTAAGGCTGGGATGAGAAAATACAAGTAATACGGCTGAGCTAATCTGAGGAAATTATTTGCAGCCGAGTAGGAGAGGAAGGAGAGCAACCAGAGGCTATGTGGAGCAGCTGAGACAGAGGAGAAGAAGAGGAAACCTAATTAAACAAGAGCTAACAAAGGTACACAAAACTCTGAATAAAGACTTAGACATATTTTATTTTGTACACACAAGTGTAAACAAAAATAAATTTTGTTAAGTACAGCTCTAAAGAAGGCCAAATGTGAAACAGAATGGCAAATGAACTGGATTAAACATAGCATACTAAAACAATTTAATGAAAAGAATATGAGGGCAGCAGCTCTCAAATAAGCATAATAAAAAAAGAAAGTAAGACCTAAGGGAAATGATGGCAAAGACATAGTCAGTAGAAATGTGTAAAAGAAAGATCCAAGGCAACAGATCCATCTAAAATGTCAAGTCAAGCAAGCAGAGGATTGCAGGAACCTACAGCCCAGGTAGAAGATTGTGTTGCTCCACAAATCAACCTTAATAAAGGTGTCCAGAGGAAAGCTACAGATGAGAGCAACTCATTAAAGTTTTTAGTTTGCAAATGGTCATAAGTCAAGTAAGAAAGACAGAGAACACATGGATGAAGGTGCTCAGCTGAGAGGTCGGTAAACCGTTGGTTCTACTTATGAAACAATTTGTGTGGTGTACAACTAACAGTGAACATTACTCTGGACACACCGTCCAAAAACAATGTGGTCACAGCATCATTCTGGGGGGATACTCTCCTCTAACAGAGATGGAGAATTCACTTAAATTCAGTTTATTCACATAGCGCCAATTCACAACACCCATCATCTCAAGACACTATCTATGCAAAACCAGTTGGTTGCATCAAATCATTGACTTCCAAGACATGCTTGTCTTGGATGAGGTTGTGGCAATGCTTTCATTTGCATTTTGTTGTTAACTCTTCAGCAATCCCTCCCACCAAGCATGCATGTACCAGCAGTGGAGAGGAAAACGTCCTTTTTACAGGAAACAACCTCCAGAACAAGGCTTAGTGTGAGTGTCCATCTGCAGAGGCCGACTGAGGTTTAAGGAGATAGAAATAGACATACAGAAAGAAACAAAGATAGAAAAGGCAACTGCCAACAAGCTCCACAGGTGGCCCCATCCTGCAAAGACACAGTCAGACAGATTAGCCTTTCATCATGTCAGACGATGAAAGAGAGCACATACAGTTAGTCATAGTAAGAGAAACAGGACTACACTGAAAAACAGGCGAGGCTCGAACATCTATAAAAAAAGCTGTTGATGGCAGCAGCACAGATGATATTTCTTTCCATGATGATGTCACAGCCAAACAGGAACAGACCAGCTGAAGCTGCTATGATGAGAGAAAGCAGAGAGAGCACACATTTATGGGTGGAATTAACAAATGCTGTGGAATGGGGGAATAGAGATAGGAATGAGCAGAAGCAGAACGAGAAAAAGTGGTCTTCATGTCCTCCAGCAGCCTAAACTTATACCAGCATCAATATAGAAAACTGCTCTGGATAACATAACTATTATGGATGAGATATGTGGAAGGTACAGCCAAGAAATATGGTCAGAGTTGATGGGGAAAAAAATCTGAGCTAAAAGTAGTAAAATCCTGAAAGAAATCCTGTTGGAAGACGCAAAAGAATTAAGAAAAGGATGGAGGCTCACCTTCCAGCAGGACAACAACCTCAACATGCATCCTAGGCAACAGTAGGATATTTATTAATATAATGACAAATTCGTGTATTAGAATGGCAAAGTCTCTTTTGAGACCTAAATTCAACTAATAATATGATTTATAAAACCTGGTGTTTACTCTTCATCCAATCCTACTAAACTTTAGCTATTATACAAAGAAAAACAGATTATTATAATAATAAGAATATTTCCTGTTGATCTATTTAATAAAATTCCCACAAACTAAGTGTATGGCTGCACAAAGGTAAAATGAGAAAAAATCTCAGAGGGTTGAAGACTTTTTACAAGGCCCTGTATAACTACAAGCCCTGCCATGTTGTTTGCAAACAGGAAAATGAAAGGAATGCTTGTGGCTGTGTACGCTGCAAGACATTTTCGATTCGGTGCCAGAGGTTGTGTGGGTGTTTGTGGCAGCTTTCCTGACAAGTGGAAGTGGAAACATTGATATTTGATTCTCCAGCCAATCAGAGAGTTGTGTTGAACGTGTGGGTCTGCTCTGACAATAGAGCTGGACTACAGTATATATTGACCTGGACTTTAGAGACAGAAACACAACAAGACATTGGAAGGAAAGAAAGCGGCACAAAGAAATCAGCCTGACAGAGGAGAAAACCCATCTACAAGACACCATGAAGACTCTGGCTCTGCTCTCCATCTGTGCTCTTCTGTCAGTGTGCTGGTCCATGGGAGGTAAGGACAGAACCTTTTCCTGAAGTTGTTTTGCTCTCACTACTGTGTGCAGGCAATTCAAGTTCCTATAATAATTTGTTTGATTCTGTTCAGCTGTAGAACCTGAGGTCATCGTGGATCCAGAAGCTGACACAGCTGCCGATCCTGCAGTTGATGCTCCCAATCCTTCTTCCTCTTCCTCATCTGAGTCTGATTCAGCTTCATCCTCTACATCTGACTCTACATCCAACTCTGCCTCTGATTCATCATCACAGTCCTCCTCCTCTTCTGAGTCCTCTGAGTCCTCCTCTGCTGAATCCTCAGAATCATCTGAATCCTCAGAATCATCAGAATCCTCAGAATCCAACTCCTCAGCTTCTGACTCCTCAGCATCTGACTCCTCAGCTTCTGACTCCTCAGCATCGGACTCTGCTGCATCTTCATCTTCCTCTTCTTCATCCTCCTCAGAGTCTGTCAGTGCTGAAGGTGATCATTTGTCTTTCTTATTGAGAACATTAGCACATTTTTACAAACGTAATTCTATTAAAATGTAATTTATAGGTATTGAAACTGGTTCCTCTCGCTTTCTTTTCTCAGATTCCCATGTGGTTATGAAGAGAGACCTGGCCTCTATTCTTCTGAGGAGAGAAAGAGCTGTCCAAGGCCAGCTCAGCCCTCTGCAGCTGGAAAGGTACCATCAGTCAATAAATAAATCCTTCTATTGTTTTGACACTTATTGAAATACTTTAGCTGTCATGTGAGAAAATGTTACACATTCCTGACTCTTTCCCCCACTCGTTTCTTACAGCCTGCAAGAAGTGTGTGAGCTGAATGTTGCTTGCGATGATATGGCTGACACCGAGGGTATCGTCGCAGCATACACCGCCTACTATGGGCCCATCCCTTTCTAAATTAAACACCCCTTCTCCTTTGGACATTTTTTAGTGCCTTCTGGTAGAAATAACACAGAAACAACTCCCTTAGATATGGGAAAGAAGGAAAAAAAAATGGAAAAGACGGAGCTCTCTTTTGAATATATAAGCTGCCTGTCATTGCATGCATGGATACCTGTAGCGGTTTCTGTATGTTAAGGGTCCCCATCAGGCTGTCTGAAAAAGGGACACGGATATACAAGCCTGTGAATGATGTAGAATCCCATCCGAGTGTAAATGATTTCTCTGCCCTGTAGAGTTATACAATGAGTGGTGCTACGATATAAAATGTATTGTTTTTTAATGTTTTTCTTTTGTATATCATGCTTTATTTTGTACTTAGCAGATCTAATGAGCTGATTTTGGTTTTGTGCAATAGGTGTAAAAACACAAACTGCCTCTTTTTTTGAAAAAGAATAAATTATTTTATTGTTTTCTTTTCCGAAGCTGTTGTATTTTCCTTATTCAAATATTCAATGAGAGATCACGACAGGATTTACATGCAGATCTCTCAGCTTACAATTAACATCAGCTGAGTAATACACCATCAAAAATTACACTAGTGGGTGAGATCGCCACTGCAAAACAATAGCATACCAACTTTATTTACAAAGCACTTTATACACCGACAGGACAGGACCAAAGTGCTGTACACAATCATAAAATACAATGCAAAAGTAGTGAATTGCTTCTGCTTTAAAGAAAACAATAAAGGTAAGGGACTATTTGATGATAGTTTCCTTATTAAAGTTGCCAAAGGTAGGCTACATATTTGCAAAAACTTAATAAGATGCTATAAAAAATTTAAGTTTAAGTAATTAGTGTTTACTATGATCATTTTACAAAATGTAAAAAAGAAGGAAAAAACAGAATACCGGTAACCTAAATCACATCAATGTTTGCTGTTACTAGGATTTATCCTCAATCCAATCTTGATTTTTATGAGTAAACTTGCAAAAAAAACAGTGGCTGCATTCAGAATCAAGCTGCTATCTCCGGTTCCTTCTCCTTTCATGGAGGCAGCAGTAAGAACTCTACCTTTTGTATGCATGTTTGGCATTGTGTGCGGGCTTTAAAGACTCTCCTGACTTGAGACACTTTTTAACAGGACATCATTTGCAACAACATATCACAGGTTGGAGATGATTTACTTGGAAGGCATTCACATTAGCTTATAGTATGGTTGTAAATCATTCCCTGGTAAAAAGAACAAACAACACCCTGATATTTGTGTTTCAAGTCAAGTTGGGAATCTCAACAAACTACAAACAAATAAAGGAAAGTTTACAGAGCAGTGGTGGTAAATTAAGATATATTTCCTCATAAATCTGGATTAGGCATTTTTATTGTGTCCTGTTTGTGTGTTTTTACTTTTTGTACATATGTAAATCATACTGGCCGTGTGTGTATTACATGCATAAATTTGTGAATATTGAAACTCTTTTAGCTAAACAGAGGATTTAGGGCCACATTAGTGAAAATATGCTCGTATCTGAGGTGGCAGGATGATGATCGGGGCCTACATATCCTCAGATGAAATATGTGTACAGATTTGTAAAAACTGCTGGTCCTTCTCCTTTTTCAGATGTTTTGACAATAATTTTTTTTCTAACACGACAATCTGTCTACAGTTATTCATGAGTCATGAGTAAATAGTAAGACTCAATTGTTTGTGAACTTTAGTCAACCATGTTCTTCTCCATGTTATAGCACCATTTACACTACCTTTTGAAACCATGTAGAGAACGGTCCGAGCACGGTAACCAAGATAACTGTTGAGTGTAAATGGGATGCAACTGAACTGGACTGTTCCAGACACAACCGAAACACGCTAAATCTAGTACTAGTTCAACAGTAGGGCTTAGGATGGTTAAGTTGTGAACCGGTTCTCTGATAACAAAGAGTGCATGAGCAGACCGCGTCATCTCCTTACAGTCAGCTGACTCATTTCGAGAGTTTTCCGACAACACAAACTTCTTCTCAGCCTATTAACAAAAAATTGTATCAAAAGAGTGTTGTGGGACCTGGGATGATGCAGAGACTGAGGCTCTCATTGAAATTTGTACGGAGGACGCTATCCAGGCACTTAAGTTCCTGACTGTTATGGACGCCATTTCTGATTACGTAAGCAATCAGAAATGGCGAGAGAGCTGTAGTATTATGGAACGCCAGTAGGAGGTGGAGAACCGTCATAAGAACCAAGCTCAGCACAGTTAACTGATCCAAGTTCGGTCCAAACTCGGCACAGAGTTTCAGAGATGTAGTTTAAATGGGGCCTTAGTCTGTGTCTGCTAATAAAGTTTTTATTTTGTAATTGTGCAGTAGACTGTTTACATCTGATAGCCCAACAGCTGTTTTCCTCTTATCCATCACTAAAAGAGACATGTGTTTTTTGTGTTTGTCAGTAGAAGATTATTCATGAATACGTTTGTTTTACTACTGGTCTTGTTTATGGGTCTACAATGTTGAGCTGATTTATTAGGCTTGGAAAAGTCTCTCTAGGCTGGACCATTTGATCAAGTTAAAGAATTTACGTGCTCAAATAAAGGCCTTTGTTAAATTATTTACTACAAAGCTGTTTCAAAAATAGCAGATGTCCTCAGTTTGGCTGATAGTCACCATTAGATGGCAGCGTTTGTCAATTGAAATTCTGGGATTTGTTTGGTGTTTTAATAATGACTACCACAAATAAAGAATACAAGCAAACAGGGTTATGAGGAAATATCTAACTTATATGTACCAGGGAGTGCTTGCAACTTTTAATAAGAAAAATTATAACCAGAACAGGTAAAATCTTGGTCAATTTTGGAAGTACAATTCTGTTAGACTGAATTTCTCAAAATTCACATATTCACCACGGACTTCATATATGGCTCTTTTGTGTTTTGTACCATTAAAACTTTAGAATTTAGTGTAAACTATGTAAACTGGCAAACAATCATGAAATAAAAGGGAAAAGATACAGGAATCATACAAAAAAGAGCACATAGCCCAATTCATTTCCTTTCAGTAAAATAATGAAATTAAAATTTTCTGTGAAGGTCTTACAAGTTTGGAGGAGCTACGTCCGTCCGTCCGTCCGTCCATCCAGAACACAAATAGTTACTAATCAGGAATTAATAACGAATTAATGTGCTGTTTTACTGTACTTAAGGATACCCAAAAAAAACAGTTAATGGTCAGGTAGTGTTTAAGTAATGATAAGTTGCTCAGTATGTGCTTGGCGTGATGTTTCACTTTACTTTAGGCTAAACAAAAATAGTAGTTAAGGGTCAGATAATGTTTAGTTCCTTGGTATGATTCTTGACTCCATAAAGGCATTGAAATTATGGCCAGGAAATAATAGTGTACTTGTTAAATGATAGACATAGTTAAGATTACAGAAGTATGAAAACATACAATTGATCATGTTTTTCATCAACAGGTTTATGAAAGAGAGGACCAATAAAATAAATTAAACCCTGCACATGTGAGATATCGGGTTCTAAATAAACTACTTATTGATACCTGATAAGTTACTCAATATCTACAGTTCACTGCACATTTACCCGGTTTCCTAATAGGTGCAGTTATCTGTGGTGGGCAGAGTAGACAGAAATCTTACTCAGCTAAGACTATTGATAGTTCAGAAAAATATAACTGAAGTACAAGTACAAAACACAATGCAGTACAGCTGCTCTTACAATATTTTTTTCAATAAGTTACTCAAGTACGCAAATGGAACTGCATAAATATAACTAGTGAGTCCACTCAAGCACTGGGTAAATGCAAAGATATCAAAGCAACAATGTGGAAAACTTGTTTTCAACTAAATCAAAATAAAACAGAAGTAATAATTTTCTGTAACAAAACAGTGATAAATGTTAGTACACAGCTTCAGGTACAACTAGAAACCACCAATCAGACTTGAAATCTGGGTGTAGTGATGGACTTAGACCTGTACCTCCACAGGCATATAAAGACGGTGGAAAAGTCGGCCTTCTATCAACTAAAGACCATTTCTAAGATTAAAGGGTCATAGTCAAGTTATATGACATGGTTTGCATTTAGACACAGTAAATCACTAATGTTGCATACAAAGTCTTTCTGAGAATCTACAGCGTCTTAATGTTTTATTAGTTGTGTTTCTGTTTTAAAACCCAATAATCCCTGTCACATTGTTATCAGGTTTAATGAACTATGTAAACTCTACAAGCTACTGAAAATAAACGGAAAGTGAGGTAGTCTGAAGCTGACGATTTAAGGGTTGAATAAAAGATCATAATTCTCACAAAATATCTGCCACTATGTATACAAATGGCCAAAAGTGAGGTAGCATGACGCTAACGATGCTATCCACTCAAACCTAATCACATTATTTCAAAAGACAAAGCGGACAATGGGTAAATAATGGGAAAGAGAGATCTGTATGACTGTTCTGCGATTGTTTAATCATTTACAGCAGTTCAGGTAAATGCACCTGATGACCATTTGGAAACTCAGAGCAGCTCCTTGGCAGCAGGCAGCAGGCTCGGACTGGGAACGATTTTTAGCAATGGCATTTTTCCATCTACACCGGCCCACCTATGGACCCCCTCCGAAAAAACAAAATGAAGCACAGTCAAACACGTGCTACTCCAATGTGAAACACAATGGAAAGACACACTGTTGATTAACCGATCTATCTTCAAGCATCACACGACAACCATCACCAAGACCTCCATAATGCGGTTTTACTGGCTCTGGTTATTAACACAGATGCATCAGTGACTGCTGCTGCGTAACGTCCCCACTCACCACATCACCAGCGTTTTCCAGCCTAAAAGATTTTCGCCTGGATATACAAAATCTTGGCCTATTTGAACCAAAGTCTATTGATCTCTTAGGCCATAAATCTTAAGAAAAACATTTTTTAGCCATAGAGGGCCATTCTAAACTGCCAGATTGGGAAACATCCCAACCAGGCAACAATGCACGTAAGACGGGAAACGTTAGCCTTTAGATGCAAAACCCCATCATGCGCTGCAACATATTTTTATAAAATATTCAAACATAAATTTGCCAAATATAAGACAAACATCATAGTTTGGTTTAAAGAAAATATTTTAGTTTTATTATAATTTATTTTGTTGCAAGGATTTTACTGTTTCAAGTAATAGAAAATTACACCATATGCCAACCATCACAAGAATGTGCATGAAAAGGAAGGGCTAAATATACTGCATTCACCATTTACGTAGTTAACATTGTTTTACTTCTTGAGCTCCTTGAGTTATTATCTGTCACAGGTAGGATTTAAGGATTTGATTTAAGGAGGGCCGGCCCTCGCACGCTGAAATTAGGACCGGCCCACCGGGCAAATGCCCAGTATCACAGAATACCAGTCCGAGCGTTGCAGGCAGTCCGGCAGGACTGGTCTGGGCAGCAGCAAAAATAGACCACCTTGACCGAAAAAAGTAGACTGGGCAGACTGGATTGAGATGAGAAGCTACAATTCACTTCTTTTTTGATCGTAGGCAGAAAAGGAAGTGTGCTTTGGCCAGCAAATCAGACTCTCCACGGCAAAGGAGCCACGTGATGTAGTTTCAGCTGAAGAAGATATGCCTCTCCCTTATGGACGTGGCCACGGACAAAGAGGACAGAAAAGGTTTGGTTTTAAAAGGACATGACGCTGGGGGGAGTTGGCTCGCTTTGGGCTTGCTTACGTCATAGACATTTGATCCTCAACACTAAGCATGTGCACAGGGAGTAAACATGGAAGCTGTGTGGTAATATTAGTACTGATAATAATGATACAAATGCTATTCTTAGCATCTATGGTCTAGGTACCATTAATATTAAAGATAGTACTGCCAGAAGATGGTACACACATCTGTTTATGTCTGCTCATCGCCCCTTGTGCTGGGGTTCTATTAAGGCTTAAAAATAATGATCAAAACAATATCAGGGTGGACACTTGGTGCATACAACCTTTTATTTTAGTACGTAAAATGGATTTTAGGCTTTTTTGTATAGCCATATGACTTGACAATGCTCCTTTTAAGGACTAATGCCTCAGCAGGATCTTGAAAAACTAATTTACTCATTCATCTTTAGTCGAACTGATTACTTAGCAGTGTCTTCCTAGAAATTATCAGATAAATGCAGTTGATCCAAAATGGTGCTGCCCACATCTTCAATAAAACTAAGAAAATGAAGAACATCAAGTCAGATGCTCCTTGTGTCTTAGACTTTAAAATACTTCTGTCTATAAATCATTGAATGGTTTAGTACTACATTATGTTACAGACTTGTTGACCTCTCAGGTCTTCTGGTTCAACTCTTCTCTGCATACCTAGAACCAGAACCAAACATGGAAAAGCAGCATTTAGTTGCTGTGCTCTGCTAATGTGAAACAAACTCTTAGAAAGCTGTAGTAATATTGAAACCCTAAACGTCATTAAATCGTCTTTGACTGAACTACCTGAACATAGCTTTCCATATTTTCTTTCAATTTATTATGAATCATTATATCATATTTTTTATGGTCATCTTATAATTTTAAATCTTTGTTTTCATTCTCTTTAATGTTTCAGGTTTATTAATTATTTGATTACCTTTATGCCATTGCAATGTGCTTTTTCTATTGAACTGTCTTAATAGTGAATTGTAATAATATAATAATTATAATAATATAATAAATAAACTTGCTGTGCCATGCCTAGTTACTAAACTGCATGTTGCTATGTAACAGCCTTATTTCAAATGATGTTAGATATTCTCAGAAATGTACAGATGACAACCAATTATTGCAATAAGACATGTGATTTATTTTTAGGTCTTTTCAGTCTGACTGAAAATAAGCAGTTTTACAACACATTGGTAAAATTAGCTAATGCATACACCATGTACACTCCATCTTTAAGATTTTTATACGTAAACAAAAGTGAAAATCATGTTTAATTTTACTATTTCTTTACAATTATGTGGTACTTTACCTAGGCTTTCAAATCTCACAAAAACACCCTCAGGGAATTATGGCTTTAAATATATATATATATTTTTTTTAAACTGGGAAAGCAGCAGGGTTATTTATTTATTTATTTTTGCAAAATTGAAGCTACGCGCCACATTTTGAGTTGATGATTAAAAAAAAGTGATTTAAACATATTAAAGAGGCATTCCTTAAACTACAATATCTTTAGTCTAATAACTCACAGGGAATAGTTATAATATTCCAGCAGTTGTATTTTTCCAGCCCTGTATTTCCTGGAAATGGCTGAGGAGGGAGAACATTTTCTACAACAGGGTTTTTCTACCATGATCCACATTTTCAACCTTTGTTCATGAAGGTAATGTTTCTTAGAAATAAGCAGCAACATAAAATACATTCATAGATAATGTTAGTCATTAAGAAGCTCTTAAACACTAACTTATCAACATTTTAAAATGCTTAGATAAGTAAATGTGTCCATTTGGCACATTTTATTGTGCAGGAGTCAGTTCTCTGATTGAGCCGGTGCTTTTGTGGTTGCTGCGTCATGCACATCAGAATGCAATCAATGTTGACTTATTGATTGCTTAAATCATAATCGTACATGTCTCCCTGGGAGGCCAGCAGTGGGATTTTCCTTGATCCACTCACCACTACCTCCACACACACTCAAACTTCCCAAAAAATACACAAATATAGCTCTAAATCTTTACACTAACTGCAGAGAGATCTTGTTTGAAGAGATATTACACAAACTGTAAAAATGTAGCCAGATAAACATAAAGAAAAGGATAAGGCTTATTAAATATATTAATACTTGGCTTGATTTCTTCTTACTGTCAAGTGTTCATTAAATGTAATTATAGCTTACAACCACCTTTCTTGCTAAGTGAAAAACTGCAGATAACTGTTAACAGAGTAATAACACAGGCGCAGTGAAACATGTTGTTTAGGACATGCTTTAATGATGAGACATTTCTTGAATCTCCTCAATCAATCATTTTTTTTTAGGTTTTATCTCTAGAAATGTCTTATACCATTATTTAAAAGATAAAAGCCAATCATTGACTTGATCAGTGAGTTAATTATGTTTCAGCATCACTTTTCCATAGTTAACTACAAATAAAATAAAACATACAGAAAGACTTGACAGGTAAATTAAAACTTTGCAGTTTCGTACCTAGCTGATGGTTCTTTTGCAGAGTTTGTTCTACCTTCATACACTGTATATCCTGCATTTAGATACAGTTCATGACACAATTTGTTTTTCTTCTTGAATGCATCAGCGTGTAGATTAGTTTCAGGAAGCTTCTCCCAATTATAATTAGACATCTGCCAAATAAGTGCAAAATCCCAAAAGATGCCATGTATTACTTCATTACTTAAGGAAAGTTTCCAGATTTCTACACCATAAACTAATTTTGATCTGAGATAGGCTATGCTGTTGCTTTATGGTATCAGTGACATAATGAAACATATTTCTGCTTTTATATAGATTTAAATAAACCATTTAAAGCTAAGGCTCACAGTTTTTAATTTCTTATAGCAGCTAGCTGTGCCACAGAACTAACCCTGGTTAGTAAGTAAGTATAAGAAAATGTCTGTTTTCAGCTTTCCCTTTTTATTTCCATAGTCTTGTATGCTAGCCTGCTTACAGGATATGCAGACTAGTGTTCAGGCATGCACATATAAAGCATGAGGAAGCCTGCTAATATCCTGATTATATTGCAATCTTATCTTTCAGATAACCTCAGTTCCAGCAGAGTTTCAAGGGTACATCTAAAGATCATAGTCAATTGATTTATTTTTTATTTTCGGATTACTAAGATAAGGTTTATATTTTCATCCGTATTGTTTAGCATGATTTGGAATGAGGCATTTGTAGATACCTAAACTGATGCTTGCGTATTTCAGATTATACAATCAAATAACTTAAATTAGTGCTCAGTAATTGTGGACTTTTCTTAGTTTCAGACCTACTAACAAATTATTTTTAGGAACCTGGAGCCTTCCTGACTGTCAAATATTCTACCCCAACCAGCTTTTTTTGGAGGAGAGCTATAAGATGTTGCACCAATATTGGGGTTTACTTGTTTATGAAAGATAGAATAATGTTTTCACAATATGTCGCCAAACATACTCATAGCTTACTGTGTTCCTAAAGAAATATATGACTCATAACATACATTAAGTCTAGAATTAGCAAGCTGCCACGCAGCTAGACTTCCCATATGTTACCTTTACATAGTGGTGTTTTATGCTCTCTTTCATTAAACACTTGTTTTATCATGCAGCACTTTGAAATGTTGATTTAAATATAAAGTGCATTACAAATAAAATGTATTATTATTGTTTTTAATTTCTGCTATGATATGACTTGTAACAATTCAATAGGATTCAAGCTAATTATGTGCAAAGTTAACTTTGTGTTTTTCTCAACATGTGTTCTCATTATAAATATCTGCCACAAAAAAAAAAAAAAAAAAACAACAACATGCTAATGGTAAGTAGCCATCATAAGTATCTACTCAAGTTCTTTAACAATGTCCTATTTTTTTTTATATATTGTACTACTTTTCTTTCAGGTAGATTTGTTTTTGTAGCACCCATTTTCTAAGAAACTTACTGAAAATAAGTTTGAGATTTTAAGTCAATAATCAGCTAAAGTACAAGTATAAGTTGATATTTAATTAGCATCAACTACTAAACACTGTTGTAAAAAAAATATTAGAAATCTTCCTTGGAACTGACCACCCTCTGGCTTGCAGTTATCCCCAAAAACTCTCTAAATTCTCCAAACTCAGATTGTTCAAACATATTACGTAACACACTGATGTCTCAGTAGTTCTTCATACAAACAAACTTAAATGAAAGAATAAATCAATATGAAAGAGAAATGAGTGAGTTAAAAATTGCAAACAGAGCAGGATGCTGACAGAGACAGGATCCATTGTTTCAGAGGATCAACTAATAACAACACAAATATAGATTCATACTTCAGTCAATTGAATAAACATCAGCACTTCAGGTTGTGTTCATTGTTATTTCTCATCATAAAAACATGCCAACTTCACTTAATCATATAAATATAGATAGATTTCTTTAAGTTTGTGTGCCATGGCCACTATAAACCATACACACAAACACACAAATACAATAAATATAAACCCTCAAAGTTGTGTTTGTTTTATAATATCTAGTTCTATCCTTGTTTCATTCTCTACGACTTTCTCTACAGACATCATTGGGTTGTCATACACCTCTTTATGTATTTCTGTACAATGTTCATCAGATTCTTGCTCGTCATGTTCCTGACTATCATTTGAAATTTGGCAGCATTTGCAGCAGCAGCAGCATTTGGCTATAAACACTCCAACCAATTTATCCCAGGGATCCAGAGAGTGGGCCCAGAGAGGGAGGAAGTCCCAGGATCGCAGTCCGGAAGGCAGCCATCCAGGTTTCCTTTTCTGCAGTGCATTGATCACCAAGACCATGATAAACATGACAACTAAAGGTACGCCCACACCAACAAGGACCTTCCAACCAGCAAGCGACAGGCTGAATATAAAGAGTGGTAACAGGAAAAAGCAGCAGATGATGTATACTGCGGCAAACCAGCGGTAGTTGGCAGTGACGTTCCCCAGACCCTTGGCCAGTCGGATGGGTATTCGAGTGAAGGGGATTGGATACCATAAAATGATTCCAGAGATGTTGAACAGGAAGTGCACAAGGGCAATCTGGGGAAATGATTGAAATGGTTTGTTGAATATCTTTTGCTTACTTCGATTGAAAAATGTTTCTACAGTTTTTAAGAATAAGGAATCATATTAAGTCAAAAAAATGTGTATGTACCATCTGCTAGTTAGAACCAGTCCTTGAATTCATCTCTAATCTGCAAATCATAACACTCAGATAATAATCTGTAGAACTAAACCTGAGCATTACACATTACTGATCTGGCCTGAAAGGTTACCTATGATCTGCAATTAATGAGAAGATTTGCACTACTTTTCTAAAAAAAATATTTTTTAAGGAAAATTCCTTTTGAAACCTTTTGCTCACTCCCTGCATGACAGTACACAGTTTTTACTTTGTTTAATCATTTTAAGATGTATATTTTTAGATGTAGCTTTTATTGCAAATAAAGAAGTTGTTAAAAACCATTGTGAGAGACAAATATAACATTTGTCTTTGTTTAAAAAAAATGACGTTTTACTAGTATAATAAGTCTAACTGTTCTTTCTTAGTCTTTCTCATTAGCTTTAAATTTATATGGATATTGTATATTGTTATTAGTAAATGTTTTCAAATGGGTTTAGCAACATTTACACTACAAATATAAATGACCAACAGCTTTGTTCTACTTTACATGAGACATAATTAAAAATTATTAACATAAAAACAATTTCAGAAGCAATTCAAGAAAAATAATCATTCCGGTCATTTTGTGATTGATTTATCTACCTGTAGAGCATTAGCCAGTCTGTCTCCAGGGCTGGCCATGGCTGCCAGAATGGCAGTGGTGGTGGTGCCGATGTTTGAGCCCAAAGATAGTGGATATGCCCTCTCTATGCTGATGACACCAATACCTATTTCACAAAATTAATTATTAAAGAATGGTTATTTTTACAGAAACAGACCTCTTTCTGTGTCTGCATTATACATTTCTTGATCTCACCAACTAGTGGAGTAATGGCTGATGTGAACACAGAACTGCTCTGCACAATGAAAGTCATTCCAGCTCCAACTACAATGGCGATGTATCCTGTGACCCAGCCGAATGGAAAGGGGAAATCTGTGCACACATGCAACATATTATTTCGCCAACCTATCTACTTATTTAGCTGACTGGATACGCAGAGTGGGAGGCTGCTTACCAGTGTTGAGGATTTTCTTAATGACTGCAGCCACTTGGCCCTTCAGCATAGAGTTAAGCAATTTAACAATGCAGACTAGACAGGAACACAGAACCAGCAGAGAGAGCGCCAGCAAGATGAGACCCACAGCCAGATCAGACAGGTTCACGTTCACAAAGATGTGATTACCTGTAGAAACCCACACAGAAATATGGGTACAAATGGAGATTTAAAATAATAATTATGGCATATACACAGTGTAAGTCTGTTTAATCAACCAACCACATTGCAGCAGTTGATTGCATTTAAGAGTGGTAAGACATGTCCAAAAGTAAGATTTGCATTAATTTAGGTTTGGAGGACTTTGCAGATGGCATTGCTCTTGGTTCAATGTGAGTTTATCTGAGGATTTTAAAAACTGCTAATTGACAGTGGTTTTTACACACAGCCTTCACTCACCTTTCAGTGGTTGAGTGAGACTGAGTCAAATGGTTTGATATAATAAAAGGCAGCAGAACAACATACAACTGATTATAAGAAAAATATAGGAAATACCACATCTGCAGACATGTTAAATTGAAAGCAGATGGGTTACAGCAGCAGAGGGCCCCATTGGATGTCATTCCTGTGAGCTGAGGTACAGGAAACTGAGACTACAGCTTTTATAGGCAAATTTCAACCTTAAAAAAAGTTAAAGTACGGTTCAAATGAATCTCCATAACAGCTACAGAAATACGATCAGAATTTGGCATCAAACAGATGATTGTATGGATGGTCTGTATCAAGGAAACATGATGGTGAGGGTGTAATAATGTGGTGGACATCTTCTTGGAACAATTTTGGCCCCTCAGTACCAACTGAACTCTGCATTCAAGTGTTTAGTAAATGAACAAAATGTGTAATTCAGCCACAGTATGGACATGTCTCTGTGAAGGACTATTAGGAAACATAAGTGTGGTAATAGTGGGCCGAAATTTTTTGAAGATCCTGGTCCATAACAGAAAATTGGTTCACTGACAAAACCATACATGGTATATTTTTCTCAAATTGCCTTAAACACGTCATCTATTTTTTTAATTTTTCAATGCAGTTGAAAAAATACTTTGCTAATTCCAAAGAGAAATTCAATAGGCTAAACGTAATGAGGATGATTTATTTTCATGTACGTCTTACATTTCTGAATGTTGTATGTTTCGGACACATTCTTTAGAGTGACAGTAATGTTGCCATCGATCCAGCAGAGAGACGGAGAGGTGCAGTTCTCCGGACCGGGAACTGTGACATTCTGTAAGGTCTAAAACACATGCACAGTTTTGCTCTTAATCTCTCACTGCCAGATATTTGTTGTACATTTGACTTTGCTCTCTTTGTGTCTTACTGTGTTGCTGTAGGTTTTACACCACTTCTTGATCATACTTTTGTTTTGGGCATCTGGGTCTCCAGTGGCAAGTCCACTAATAACAGACTCATCCAGCTGATACGGAAGAGAAAAGGAAAACAGGCCAAAGATAAGAGCATTTTACAATGGCTTCTTATCAGCCTGATAAAAATGAGGACATGGAATCAGCAACATCCTAGTTATTGCAAGCATTAATCAAATGTCTCATCATTATATGTTTTTATTTCAAAGAAGAGACACTATTACAAGGAAGAAGATAAAAATCAGAAAAGCAATATGTAGCACCAGAACAACCCAAAGGTCAGGTTCTTCCGATCCTAGATTTATTTTTTCCGAATGCTTATCTTCTGACAGTCTATTCAAATAAAAAAGGTATCATAAGAATATCAATAATTAAGATTACGTTTATGACATCTCACCTGTATGATAGCTTCAGTTAAGACATCAGTAATCACGTTTAATAGGTCGGGTGCTTCTCCACTCTGGATCTGAAAGGAGTCGATGATGAGTTTGGTCACAACGTACAAGTAACCAGAGGCTACTTCCAGAGGCAGCAGCACCAGCACAGAGAGCCAGTTAAAGAAGTCGTGCACGGTAGCCCCTGCAAAAGCCCTTTATGCATGGAAGGGGAAAAAAAATATTAATAATTATGGTGTTTCAGAAATCTGATCCTCACATTTTTCAAGCAAGAACATTTTATTCACAGTAATGGTCCAGGTTAAACGTTCATATCAGCTGTATATATATTTTATTATTTTTGGTGCTGATAAGATATTTGGTTGGACAAAGGTTCAAAGTTTTCTACATCTAGTGAATAGTGTTCTGCAAGTGATGCAAACATGGTTATAAATCATCCCTCTTGAACTTTTACAATGTCTTAAATTCAGGGATGGGGGATCTGGAGTCAACAAATCATCTCTATGTCATGTATTGGTTTTGCCCAGCCACTAAACCAGGTGAGTTCAGTAAGCACAGGCTAAACCAGATTTATAACATATATATGAAATAGAGATGACTTGTTGACTCCAGGTCCCCCATCTCTGCTTAAATCCCTACTAAAAATGTTAGTGTACGGTTGTGGAATAGATAAAACACAAAAAGACAAACAGTCTTTATAATATTATAATATTTGGCAGCTGTTCTCTACATTTTTATTTTGGTATCCTTCGGTGTGCCTATATAAAATCCAATGCAAAGCCAGCCAGATCTTGAGGATTCATCGAATTACTTTATAGATTATTGCTTCAGTTGAATTTCAGTATGAATTCAGTTGTTCTGGAAAGGTTTGGAGGACAGTATAGTGAAGGCATTGGTTTGGCAACATCATGGTCTGTACAGAGCTACAATGGAACAAATTAGATCAAAGTATAATGGGTCAAATAGATCTAGACATCAATCTAAGATAATCTATAATAAATAGCTTATATCCTAATTTAATGTGAGTGAGCTGGAACCATTTCAGTAAAGAATTTCAGTGTTGAATCGTAAAGCATACTTCAAAAGACTTTAACTGCTAAAAATAATGTGATTAGGGTTATTAGTTTCTATTCAGGCCGTGATTATGCAACTTTGAGCTCATCTGTCTCATTAATCCTAATTTAATTTGTTTTTAATAACTTTATTAACAGCATATTACATTTTTTTCCCCCATTCCATTCCATTTTCTTCCGCTTTATCCGGGGCCGGGTCACAGAGCCAGCAGTCTATGCCCAGATATGCCCAGACCTCAGTTGGCTCCATTCAAGGAGGAGGAGCAACAACTCCACTCCAAGCTCCTCCCGGGTAACTGAGCTCCTCACCCATCTTGAAGGGTGTGTCCAGCCACCCTGCGAAGGGAACTATTTTTGGTTGTTTGTATTCACAATCTTGTACTTTCGGTCAATACCCAGATCTCATGACCATAGGTGGTGGTGGGAACATAGATCAATCGGTAAATCGAGAGCCTTTCCCACACAGCTCCCTCTTCACCACGACAGTCCAATACAGCAACCACGTCACTGTGGTCACTGATAGCTGGATGGGTGCCGACGGCGCACCGATCCATCTATCGATCCATCTGTCCCTCACTCATGAACAAGACCCTAAGATACTTGAACTCGTCCACTTGAGACAAGGGCTCTCTACCAAACTGAAGAGGGGAGTCCACCTTCCTCCGGTGGAGAATCATGGCCTAAGATTTGGAGGAGCTGAGCCTCATCCCAGCCACTATAAACTTGCCTGCAAACTGCCCTAGTGCCCCCACCCGTCCTGGTTCAATGAGGCCAACAGGACAACATAATGTGCGAGCAGCAGAGATGATATCCCGATGTTCTCAAACCAGACACCCTTTAGTCCCTGTCTACAAATGCCTACAAATTCTGTCCATTAATGTAATGAACAGAACCAGTGACAAAGGGCAGTACTGGCAGGTACCAACATAAAATGGGAACAGGTGTGACTTACTGCCGGCAATGCGAACCAAGCTCCTGCTGCGGTCATACAGAGACCAAACAGCCCTTAACAGAGGGCCCCAGACCCCATACTCCCAGAACACCACCCACAGGGCAACACGCGGGATACGGTCAAATGCCTTCTCCAGATGCACAAAACACATGTGGACTCCCACGAACCCTTGAGTACCTAATGAAGGATATAGAGCTGGTCCAGTATGCTGCAACTGGGACCAAAACCAAATTGTTCCTCCTGGATCCGAGGTTCAACTATCAACTGGATCCTCCTCTCCAGCACCCTGGATTATACCTTACTGGGCAGGCTGAGGAGTGTGATCCCTCTGTAATTAGAGCACGCCCTCCGATCCCCCTTTTTAAAGAGAGGGAACACCACCCCAGTCTGCCAATCCAGGGGTACTGTTCCCAACCATGACGTGTCAGCCAAGAGACGTGTCAGCCAAGACAGTCTTACAACATTCAGAGACTTAAGGTACTCAGGACTAATCTCTTCCAACCCTGGGGCCTTGCTACGGAGAACCTATCTAACTACCTTGGTGACTTCAGCCTGACTGATGGCTGAGTCTGCTTCTAGGTCCCCAGCCTCTGCCTCCTCCTCAGAAAACATGACGATGGGATTGAGGAGATCCTCAAAGTACATTGTCCAGCGCCCGACAACATCCCTAGTCGAGGTCAGCGGCTCCACACCCAAACTGAAAACAATGTTGATGAAGCACTGCTTCCCCCTCCTAAGGCTGCGGACAGTTTGCCGCAACACTTTCAAGGCTGACCAATAGTCCTCCTCCATGGCCTCTCCAAACTCCTTCCAGACCGAGTTTTTGCCTCTCTGACAGCAAAAGCTGCCTGCTGGTACCTCTCAGCTGACTCCTGAATCCCAAAACCTAACAAGGCCAGGTAGGCCTCCTTCTTCAGCTTGACGGTATCACGTACTTCCAGGCACCACCACTGGGTTCTGGGAAGCCGCCACGATAGGCATCAGAGACCTTATGACCACAGCTACACATGACCGCATCGACAATCTACTGGTTTTCCTTAGATAGAAAACTTTGAATCAATTTGACTGTATGATCTGGTGAACTGTAAAGTGAAAATGGGATGACATGTGTTGTGAATTGGCGCAACATAAATAAACTGAATTGAAACATTGATCACCCCAACTCTATGTCTCCAACTTCCTTTGAGATTTGGGAGAAACTCGTCATGGAGGAGGGAGTTAAAGACCCCACTAACAGAGTTGTGAGTTTCTGTTCTGTTCTGTTTCTGTTCTGTTGGGAACCTCTGGTTCCCAACAGAAACTCAGAACAGAACATCCAGCTCACCACCAGCTGGTCCTCGGCTGAAAGCTCAGCCCCTCTCTTCACCCAAGAGTCCGAGACATGTGACTGGAGATCAGATGACACAACTACAAAGTATAAAATCATCAACCTCCGGTGTGTCCTGGTGCCATGTGCACTTATGGACATCCTTGTGCTCGAACCTGGTGTTCTTTATGGACAAACTGTGATTTGCACAGAAGACCAATAACAGAACACTGGTCGGGTTTAGATCAGGGAGGCCGTTCCTATCAATCACCCCTGTCCAGGTCGTACTGTCGCTGTAAAATAAAGCCTGTCTTTCTATTTATCAGCACCTTATATCTTGTATGACTCCTAAAGGGAAATTGATCAAGGGCCTTCTTGTAAAGCCTGATTAGGAAATCAGAATCAGAATCAGAAATACTTTAATAATCCCAGAGGGAAATTACTTTTGTTACACGCTCCAGTTACTGTTTTATATAATATATACACACATCCAACTACAATGCAAAAGAGATTAGTTTATTTAAAATAACATGCTCCATTAAAAGGTCTCAGTACCTTTATTTTTGTATATTTTCAATGTTGTTTCTACAAGCACAGGAAAACAGTCAAAGTATTACCTGCGGAAGGTGCTGCGGTCACCAGCTTGCGTCATGGCAACTAATGTGTTTGTGACCGAGGTGCCAATGTTGGTGCCCATGATGATGGGAACAGCTACCTGGACTTTTAGGACTGTCAGAGAACACAGATCCATATCAGTATTTTTGTCACATCTCAATATATTCATCTCTGTGTGTTCATGCTAGCAGTGTGATGGTGTTGTGTGCTTCGCACTCACTCCCTGACGAGACCATGCTGACGACTATAGAGGAAGAGGTGGATGAGCTTTGTACAAGCAGAGTGACAAGGACCCCGATGACCAAACCAGCCAGCGGATTAGACAAAATCGAGTTGTCCTGAAAGATATCGCCTGCTGCTCTGCCTGGACAACATGAACAAAGGACCATGTAGCATATATATTTTACTTTGGAATAACTGTACATCAGGATGACAGCTGCTTTGATAGTTTTGTTACGAATAATTATTAGAAAACTAGAATTTAAGACTAAAATCTATTTAGCTGCTACAGTATTGTTTAGAATAGCTCAAATAATGACCTGCAGGGTCTCAGTTAGAAAAGTGTTTACCTCCAACTAGCTGAAAGGCTGAGCTGAGGATGTCGAGGGAACAGATGAACACGTAGAGGAGGCCCAGCAGGGCGATGAACTTTACAATTGACACCAGCACCCTCAGCACTTTACCCTTGGTATCTAGATCTGAAAGAGAAAATAACCTATTGTCAAAAGTAGAAGTGAAACAATTAAATGGATTAACTGTGATTAATCGAAATAATCATCAACTAATTTAGTTAATTGATTAATTGTTAAATGGAGTATTGAGGCTCTAAAGCATGCCTAAAAAAATAATTTTCAAGGAACCTTTTGCTATCCGATTACTAATAGGAAAATTAATCAACAGATTCATTGATGAGCAAAATTGTTAGTTGCAGACCTAATCAAACTAGTGGAGGAGGTTCTGGGTGGATCATCAAAATAAGTAATCCTCCTAATTGGAAATCATTCTGGTGACATGTTTATGTAACGCTGTCCTGCGTGCTCGTCCCAATTTTAACTTACCAGTTGTGAGTCTGACATAGTAGAAAAATTTCAAATCTTTTGGAAAGTAAGTTTGTATGAGCGATGCAAACAGCAACTTTTAAACAAGCCCATTTTCCTTGTGCATGCTCTCGCACGCGTTTAATAAGCATCCCCTCTTGGGAGCGGGTACAGGGTAGTGCATGTGCACTTTTTTTTATAGTGGAGAGGGCCAAACATTTGCATAAATCCTCCTCTATACCTTTAAAATTATACTAAAGTGGCCAAAATCAAATGGGAAATGCTATATTTTTTTATATAGTATTAGAAAATATACTCTTTTAATTTCATGTAGCACTAGGAATAAAAATATCTGATGACATACACAACCTGGATGAGCCTTTATCGTTACTTTGGCCTTCTCTCCCACTCAGCAGTTTCTCTTAATTGCCTCGATCATATATTTTATCACATCTATGAATGAATTAGGTCAAAGCTCAGTTTATTTCTCTGTAGGTGCTGGTGGAACAAAAAAAAAAATCTTTGTTCCTTTTTGTAATTCTATAAAATCCACACTTACTCCATTTGTATGCTCAGGTCATAATTATACATTAATAAAGGAACCAGGGGAAACCTTTAGAAACCCCAGAGTTGTTCTAAGGATACTTTAATGGGTAGTCAATGACTGCATGGTAAATGTTAAAGCACATACACTATATTTTTGCATTCTGACAATAAAACTTTCAAGGACTACCAAATGTTTCGGCATTAAACATTTCTTTGGAAACTAAAGTAAATCAGGAGAGAAGAAGTGGTCTTTTATTTGTCTGGTTTCTCCATGGGTACAGCTTCCATGTGTGTGAAGCTGCCACAAATGTCAGTTCAAAAACAATTATAAAGCAGTTAAACTCAACAGACTGTCTTGCAGTCATTCTGTTCAGAGTGGAAATTGGACCTGTGTTCCAGATTTGAACTTATTTGGAGCTAATTGCATTAATTGTATGGAGGACGGGTAGCTTATAGGGGGGAGGGGTGGACTAGTGGTTGAGGCATTGGGCTTAGATCTCAGAGGTTCTGAGTTCAAGCCGACTCCCACAGACTGCCACTCTGGCTCCCTGAGCAAGAACCTTAACCCCACACTGCTCCCCGGGTGCCACACAATGGCAGCCCACTGCTCCCCAAAGGGGTGGGTTGAATGCAGAGAATTAATTTTTTTGCTCTGTATTTGTGACAGTGGAATGACAATAAAGTTTTATTCTCTTCTATACTAAAAAGCTGGCAGAAACTGTTAGGAGAGCTTTAATATCAACTGTGAGTCTATTTGCTCAGTGAAGCCACACAGAAGTTAGTAACACTCCAAATGTTACATAAAAAAAACAGATTACCTCATTTTCTTTGTAGTGTGATGAATCTAAAATTGTGTTTGGCTATAACATCATTGTAGTAAATGAAAAGCAGTGGGAACCTGAGAATTTCACCTCAACCATGAAGTACAGAGGAGGCAGCATCATGTTATGTGGGTACATTAGTGTAAGACAGACTTAAAAACTCACCTAAATATGACACTTACTTAGCTACTAAATATTGGTTTCTTATAAAATCAGTTGCAGCCTACAAATCCTGCTTTGTTACTCCTGTTATGTTAGGAGGAACCAGCAAAGATTCCAACAAACTATTAAAGCATTTTTTTAGAGAGATTCTGCAAAAGGTTGAGCTGTGTCATACAGTTTAAAAGGCAATTTTACCTGACCATGGGACCCCAGTGTCTTTTAGCTCAGGGAGGTCCCAGGGGTCTGTGTCCTTTGAGCCTGGCTCCACCAAAGCCAGAGTGGAGTGTGCTGGGCTTGCCTTAAGATCTGCAACATGTTAAAGTCCACAATAAATAAATCGTCTCCAACAATAAGCTTACTATGTGTCAAAAGTCTACAAAAAATGTTTCCAAACCTCTGATTTTCTCTTCTTTTTGCTCATCTTGGCCTTGCTCTATGTTGTTCTTTGAGTCAGATGACTGAAAAAGAAGAACCGTAGTAAAAAGGTATACATATCATACTTGAGTTACATATACTAAAATCTATGCTTTTTTGAAAAAAGTGTTTTAAAAAGTTAAATCACTCATTGCTTACTCAATCCTCTCACATCTTTTATAGACCACAACCACTGATTAATAAACTACAGTTATTTTGTACTGCAGGCTGCAGGTGGTGCTCCTGTTTTTCATGACATATGTAACCGTATCCTCTACCCAAAATACTGCATCTGTTGGTGAGATCTATACTGGTCGTACTAACAGCCATCCACACATGCACACAAGCACAACGCTCATCACATGCCACCTTATTGATCTGGGTCACATGCTTTTAAATTCCATTCACACAAGAATAGCAACAAATGATCGACCAATCCCCTCAGCATTTATAACTAAAAGACATTTTTTTTCATAAATCTGCTCTTTGATAACACATCTGTTCTGTCTGCTGGGAATGGTCTTGTTAGTTATTAAATTACTGTTAAATTTCTATGTATAAAAAAGCGCTTTTCAATAAATAACTAAGAGTTTTATGTGCTGAATGTCAGCAGTCCGTTGGCTATTATGCCAAAATTAAATACAACATTGGTGAATATCTAATATTCATTTCTACAAGCAACATTTTTAGAAGGGATTTGTTTTTGTAATTCAAAATAAAGAAATATGTTAGATTTTCTTGTTTTATGCATTATTTCCTGAGCCTTATTCATGTCATGAAGATATAAAATCTCTCTGCTCACCTGTGGCAGGCCTAGGGAGTCCATGCTTGAGTGGTGCAGAGCTCACCTGTGTCAGGGTTTTAAAGTGCTGCCTCGTTTGCATACGGGGCAGAAAGGTTGCAAGGCATCATAAGAAGGTGTGATGATTTCGCCCTCACATCCCTCTTGGAACATTTCCGTCTCTTTGATAAGCCAGACACGCCTTTGAAACTTTGGTTCCCCTTACCTGGTGCTGGTGTAACACCCCTCTGTCGCAATCCAGTGCTCACATTGTATCGGGCGATAAGCCTGGAGCTGAAGCTGACCCTGTGTATAACACCTGCTGCTGGTGAACTTCAGTTCACTCAAAATGCTTTGCAGGTTTTTCCCACAGAATCTTTGATAGCTTCTTGAATTGTCCTCTTTGAAGAAGTGACCTGAATTTCCAGACCTTTGCTTAGAAAGTCCTTTCTTTTCCCGTCCATTTATATTCCTCTCTGTCTGTCATCTACAGCATTGGAACGACAGTAATTCCTGCTGGTTGACCGTTCGATTAACTGTGGGAAAGGATGGGGAGGGAAGCTGATTCTTCCAGGATCTCCTGGTTTGGTTGATTTTAGGGAGGGGTTCAAAATGTGCCATGATTTAAAAAAAGCCCCAACCTTATTTTGTGGATGTGTATGTGCTCTATTTTTGGTGTAGAAATCCATAGATTTTTTTTTGCTATAATTACCCACTGGTCAATACTTCAGAACATCAGTCGACCTACAAAGCTGTTGATGGCAGCCTTGAGTCAGTTCAGGTCAAATTAATGTACTGAGCTTTCTACGGATGTTGTGATAGCAGTGGGTTAGAGGCTAAAGTCCATCTCTCTTGCTGCTTTGGTGCCACAAAAATCCATGAAAACAACATTTCCATGTTTGTCCTCTACCCCAATAGATATGAGTTACTCATTAGTTAGGTGTACTAAAATTACTGCTTCTAAAAAAAACCTAACTACAGGGCACTTTTTTTCTTTTTTTATTATTTTTTTATTATTATCATTTATAAATATACATATATATATATATATATATATATATATATAAATATACAAAAAAAATTATTTTTTCATTTTACTGTGATGCACCAGGATCCACAACTCCAGACAATGACTCCTCCTGTCTTGTGACTTCTCGATACTCTACTCTAGCAGAGATGAATGGAAAGGCTAAATTACCACCTTAATATTACTTTCACATTTTTAAAATGATGATTTATCCTGAGGTCTGTGAGATGTTCAAAGCTTGAGATGTTGTTTTCTAACCTAATCTAGTTCTTGACTACCTGATAACCTATTTCCTGCCGTATCTCTTCTATACCTATTTTTTCTTGAGGCTGGTTGTCTGAACATTCTCTAGTCTCTTTACTATATACAT